ACTTTAATATAAGTTTAACATAACAGCAAATGTACAATGTTTCGACAAGGTACCCGATGACAAAACCTTGTCGAAACGTTGTACATTTGCTGTTATGTTAAACTTATATTAAAGTTTTTCTTCATTGCCTGTTCAAGCTGTCTCCAAGCATTATTAGTCTCAAAGTGGGTTCATCGTCATCGAAAAAGAAACTTTCTGTTTATCACAAACTAAGATGTAAGTAGTATTATTTAATTCAATAAATAATCAAATAATAAAAACTACCTATTGAAATTCATCTAACAAGTCTGGTATCTTCTAATATCAAACCCACCCTCACTGATGTGTGTATTATACACGTAAATAATCAAATAATAAAAACTACCTATTGAAATTCATCTAACGTGTATAATACACACATCAGTGAGGGTGGGTTTGATATTAGAAGATACCAGACTTGTAAGAACATCATGTCAGTATATACTTGTAAAAATTTGTGATTTGGCAAATTTTTTTGTACAGACACATATTTGGTGTTTTAATATTGTACATATTTTTAAGCTAATGTTTGTAATCATCTTTGTAAACACTTCTATTTTTATTTTGTTTTTCTAATATAAATGAATGATGTGAAACAACATTGATTTGTTCTAATAAGCTTAAACAGGGAAGGCACTCTTCAAAACCAAGTTTGTCAGTATCTAAAGCACAGAGGTCTTTTGTTACTTCTGATTTTACTTTAAGTTTTTACCGTAGTAACAGTTGACATTGGTCCTATGTTAATAAATATCATTAATCAAGAAACTATCTTAACTTACAGTGATTACTTAATATTAAATCATTTCTACAAATAAATTAAATTTTCCATACAATACCACTTAAGATTTTTGTTTACTTTTAAATAGAAAATTTTCTATTTCCACTGTTTTCTTATGTTTTGTGACATCCGTAGTCAAGAGTTTTTGTTTTTAATTTACAAAACAATTTGCTATAATTTTTACCTATGATTACCAGTTTTGAAAAAAGTCTTTATTTCCTTAAAGCTACTCTTTGGAAAAAATTTAAAATTTGACAAATCCAGTGTGTCTTTCCAATGAACACATTTTAATTTTTGTGAAAAATTTTATGGTTGACCTTTATTTTTTATTGAATGTTGTATTCCTTTCTTTGAAATACAAAACATTAACAAACGTAAGTAAATGTGACTTCTGACTGAATATTTTTTTCTTCCAGTTTGTGTATAAGATGTTGACTTTTATCCTTTTTTAAATATATATTTCTTCATTGTAAACTATGTTTCTTGTAGTTACAAAATACCTTGAAAAGATTTGGTTTAGATGTGTTACAGAAATATTAGTTAAATGTCTGATATCAGTAGTACTATGCAAGAGGTGAGTGAATTAGACAGTGGTTTTAAATTAACTTGTGTTAGTTTAGTTTGATGAAGTGCAAGCTGTTTTAGTTAACCGGGCTAACTCAATGATGAGGTTAACAGATATTTGATCCCTATGGACTTAACGTAGATAGCCCATTGGGTAGCTTTTTGCTGAAATAAATACTAAATAAAACCTGATATCTTTTACTGGTGAAAGTGAAGGTTTGTATTTTGTATAACTAGGGTATTACCTGGAAAAATTCTATTTTATGCAAGTTATTTATTTTACAGGTAAATTCTGTTTTACAGAAAATAAACTATTAAGAAACAGTTAATGTGGAAAATTCTCTTTAACATAACTTAAAAATAATAGAGTGTGTTATTGTAATATTTTCTGACCTAAAATAATAACTTTACAGGTCTAGTTTTGTATTCTGGCCTGGAGAATAAGCAATTTTTCTTTGACTTTTACATTTTTATTACTAAAGCTAGAAATCAGTTTAATTTTGAAAAACGTTCTGTTATGAAATAATTAGTTTAGTTAGAACTTCATTAAGTCTGTGGTGAAAGACAATGTTTTCTAATTAAGTGAAGAAAATACGTTGAAGTCTGATTATTTAAAGAAAAAGAAGATTTTTATTGGCCTAAATGATGTTT